AAAATAAAAAATTGATATAAATTTATTATCTCTTTTAATTAAAGTATTAGTTTATTTATTACATACCATGAATTATCATACCAAACACCAGTAGTCTTAGGATGTCCACCTGTTAGTTGTGCCAAAAGACCAGGGAAAGAGTCAGTTGGAAGGGCATCTTTTGCATTTTTGAAATATACAGAATGTTTAAGAATTTTAGCTAGAGTAGACTTCGGATTTGCGGATGTAAATACGTCAACATCCTTTTGATGGAGACCGTCAATTGAAATGAGCAAGACATGACGGCATGATTTTCTACGTTTGTTCTGAGAAGAAGGATATCCAAATGAAATTGTCGCGAGGGAAAGGAGGGAAATGAGGGAAATAAGGACTGACAATTTTGGGATAAACATATTGAAATATATATATATGGTATATATAAGGTCCAAATACACAGAGTTAGGACCAGCTCTGAAGGTGCATTTATAGAGAATCGCAATTAGAGAATGGCCAATAATCTTGTTGTCCGAAGTATCGTCATTTCTACTCCAAACAATGTAAATATCCGTTTCCATACCCAATAATATTTCGTAATATAATGTTATTAATAACACAAACCAAAATGTAACGTCATACCAATCAAAATGTTCCGATGGACATTTCCATTTGCTTGAAAATTCTAATAACAATAAAAAAAATGCGTGTAATTTTATAGCAGCGTATATTCCTTATATCACGAGTTAACCAAATTTCACTTTTTTTAAACTTTAAGCGAATCGTTCAGGTTTAGAAAATAGTTTAACGCATATACTGTAACATTTAGTCCTGATAACATATTTTCCGTTGTCAAAACCCCAGTAACAAAATTTTCCTTTGACGAAACGATTGAATTCAGAAAAACAAGTTTATTCATAAATCAAACTAACCCAGAGTAACTTGCCATGGGGTAACTTAATTATGCAAGTGATACATTGAACAATTAATTAAGTATAAATTTGTAAAATTTTTAATTCTTAATTGTTAATTGCCGGCATAACCATTAAAGCTTGTTCAACTTTCCTTTTAATATTTATCGCATTTTTTCAAAATTACTGTGATCAGCGTATCACACTGAGAATCTGGAATTTAGAAAAAAATGCAAAAATATGATTGGTTAAAAAATCAATAAAGGGTGAAATTCGCGTAGAGATGATAACTTTCTTGTTGCAGATCTATACTTAATTAGGGTTAGTTACTATTTTAGGTAGGATTTTGCGTCAATAACCGTAACTATTTTTGCGCGGGTTTCACCCTGTCGTATAATTTTTAGCCAATCCATATCGCA